TGTTAATTCAGGTATGTGATGGGACACTATTGATCCGTAAAATATGCAATTTTTACCTCATTCTGTAAGTTCTATGAAATTTAATCGTAAATTTTATATGGAGTGTCCAAATAATTAAGGGCTTGAAAATGACGTCAAATAGGGGGAGGGGTTTCTTTTTCCAACATTCTATTAAGTTTTGCCCCTGAAAAAACTCGTATAGACCTAGGAAATATTTAAACTGGCTACAGTGAAATAAAATGCATCCAGAGTACTTGTTTTTTAAATGCCAAAATAGATTCAGAGAGAAAAGGAATGCACAGTTAATGTCCATTTGTAGTCAAGGTGGGAAAAGTCAGTCACGTCAAAAAATGGCGTTACGTTGATCATGTGTGGTAGATACTGAACTCCAAAAAGCAAAATATGCTGGCATAATGAAGGGAGGATCTCTCCCAGTGTATAAATCCATTTGCAATATTATATGTATTGAAAGCAGCTGTTTAAAATATTGTAAAGTCATATAAACAAGACGGGTTTAAGTCCTTACTCAACTCCAGGGAATCTCATCAAGATAAGTGTGTGAGGTAGAAGAATCGGACATTGAAAAACAATGATGTTGTCGGACGTCATGAAACTAAACGGCGACAGCGCCGGGTGATCATACAATGTCGTTTTTATTTTATAATAATTTGGCAAATAATCAATGTATCATGCTAAAATTTTTAACACGTCTTTATTTTTAGTTGTTTTATGTTCCTTATAAATTTTGAAAGCACAGACTACTTAGTACTAATTTTATCGCATCAGTCCACGAACTTTTTGATAACCCGTCGTATATAGTGAAATGCAATTATGGCAAACCAAACTACTTATTTCATTATTATTGAGCAATATGACTCTGTTAGTGTCAGGTTTGTACTATACCCATGTTTTCTCTAGTCATGTTTTACTGTACATCATTTTTTTGCCCACAATTACTTGATTAACACATTATTAAGCTTTTTTTTTGGGTAGTCTTTTATATGTTTTAGTATAGTTTATTTATTAAATAGGTAGTGCATAGCATTAGATGACATATACTTTAGGATGCTTTTGCTTTGTAGGCTTTTGTAATAGTTTTTAAAGTGACTAAATAATTTAAACATGTAAACATTTTTACAAGTTGTTTAACACTGTTGCTATTAAAGTTTATTCTACAGTTTACATATTTTTATCTCCTTGTATTGAAATGTTTCTCATCTATTATTTCTTTGACTGTTTGTTGCCTTTTCTGTCTAAAACTTCAGTGTTGCTCATTAACTTTTGAAGTACTTCATACTTAATTGGCACAAAGATTACTAATGGCCAGAGAGAGTGTCTTGACCCTGATTAAGGGTTATTTGATATAAGGTCAAATTCATTGATATTAGAAGTGATAAAATCTTGCCTAATCTATAACTTTGTAAGAAACATTTGAAATGCTTATTTGGCATATAGAGGAAGGTTATTATGAGCCAGGAGTATTTATAATACCTGACCAAAGGACATTAAAAGAAAGTCAAGGTCAAGGGATTTTCAAGTATAAAATTCTTGTCTGGTCCATTATAATGTGGAGATGGTACAGGTGCATGACTTTACACATAGGGAAGTTATGATTAAAGGATGTATCATGACCCAGAATCAAAGTCATCTGTACAAGGTCAAGCTCAAATTTGTCTGCATCAACACAAAATAAAACTCGGGGCTTTTGTCCTGTAGAAGATTTTTTCTCCTTTTCTTGTATTTGTTTCTTTTTAGCTCACCTGAGCTGAAAGCTCAAGTGAGCTTTTCTGATCACATTTTGTCTGTCTTCCATCTATCCATCTCTCTGTCCATTCGTACGTCTGTAAACTTGTCACATTTTTCGACTTCTTCTCCAGAACCACTGGGCCAATTTCAACCAAACTTACCACAAAGCATCCTTGGGTGAAGGGGATTTAAGTTTGTTCAAATGAAGGGCCATGTCCTTTTTCAAGGGGAGATAATTAAGAAGTAGTGAAAATTGGGTGGCTTCTTTTAAAAAATCTTCTTTTCAAGAACAGTAAACCATGATTAGTCATATTGATATGGAAGCATCCTCAGGTAGTGTAGATTCAAATTTATTCAATTGATGACCCCTGGGTGTAGGTAGGGGCCAGAGTGGGGGATCAAAGTTTTTTCAAGTTTGTTCAAATCATGACTCCTGGGGGTTGGGTGGGGCCACAATTGGGCATCAAAGTTTTAAATAGTTTTAAGGAATAAACAGGAAAAAATCTTTAAAAACTTTCTTCTCAAGAACAGCATAGCCATGATTAATCATATTGATATAGAAGCATCCTCAGGTAGTGTAGATTCAGGTTTGTTCAAATCATGACACACGGAAGTTGGGTCGGACCACAATGGGTGATCAAAGTTTTACATAGAAATATATAGGAAAAATTCTTTCAAAATTTTCTTACCAAGAACTACAAAGACTTGATTAGTCATATTGATATGGAAGCATCTTCATGGAGTGTAGAATAAGACCACAATGGGGGGATTAAAGTTTTATATAAAAATAGATAGGAAAATTCTTCTTCTCAACGACAGTAAGGCCATGATTAATCATATTTTTATGGATCTTCGAAGCATCATTATGTAGTGTAGAATCAAGTTTGTTCAAATCATGACCCCTTTGGGTAGGGTGGGGCCACAACAGGGGAACAAAGTTAAACAAAGGAATATGAAGGATATGTCAATAAGAAATTTCTTCTCAAGAACAGCAAAGCCATAATTAGTTGTATTAATTTAGAAGCATCCCCAGGAAGTGTAGATTCAAGTGTGTTCAAATTATGTCCCTGGGGGTAGGGCAAGGTCTCAAAAGAGGACAAATGTTGTTACCACTTTTATATTTAAACTTTTCAATACTATACTGATTTCTGCTTTTCCTTAGCCAAAATGCTCAGGTGATTGATGTGGCCCACGGGCCTCTTGTTTTGATAAATTTTCAGGATATTTTCTGTTTTGTTATTTATATTATGTAATATATATTCATAGAAATGTTCCAGAAAAATCCATGATGATTATTTTTTTATCCATTGTAAAAAAAAAATACATTTCTTAGAAGAACATTTTGTGTCTGAAATGATTTGTACATTTTCTAAATGTGTTGACACTTGTGATAATATTTCATGTATAAACCTTTTCAGATGATAGAAGGAACATATCCACAGCACAAGGTAGCATAATGTGCCAAATTCTCTAGACTCTTTATTTTTTAAGTATTACACAGTTGTTTGTACTAGATTTATATATCACACATATAGTATTACAGAAGTGTTTTACTCTGCAGCATGACTCTATATGCTTGTACTATACTAGAGAAAATATACTGTTCACTGTTCTAAAATACTGTATCCTGTTGAAGTCTCATCACCCTGTACAGGTATAAATATAAATGTATGTCTTAATTATCATATCCCGATTAGATGGTAATCTTTTTAGGTTTTTTATTCGTCCATTTTGTATGATCTGATTAAAAGAATAAATGCTAATGGGACGAAAAAACAAACAACCCCCCCCCCCCCCCAAAAAAAAAAAACAGTACCATGGATACCAGTTACCATTATGGGAAATATGATCTTATTTGCACAAAATCTTGAACAAGAAGAGTCATGGAATTTTAAAAAACTGATTAGAAAGAGCTTGTAGTATGTAAAGTGTATTCCTTAATTAATGTAGGAGATGAATGTCTTTCTATAATCCTGAAATTATGTTCCTTATAAAAGAATTTAGAATTACTTAAAATATTTTTTGAAAAAAAAATACACGTCAAACAAATAAGCGTGGAGACTAGCATTTTAAGGTTCACTGACCCTCTTATAAGAGAGGTAACTCTCACTGGGATAAATAAGTACTATTCCTTTAAAAAATTGTCAAGTAAAAAGGCCATTTCTGTCAAAATTTCCCCCAGAAAGAATGCTAAAATTGTGTGCATTTTATAAATTAGATTTGTTTTGGAAAGTCATAAGTGTTAAAGCAAAATTTTTTGTGAATACATGGGCAAAGGGACAGTGAACCTTAAATCAATTTAGGTGAGAGAAATTAGCCCTCTGCTTGATAAAATGGATTATTTCCTGTAATTTAATATTTCAATTTTCTAGCAGAAGATGTATATGAAAATGACATTTGAGAGAATTAAGTATACCTTACTAGACAGCATATGTGACAAATTAGTGTTAAAGCTTTAAATTAAAGGAAATAATGATGTAGCGATGCTAGAGTTACCTCTCTTTGCTTGGAGTTTATTCCTCCTTAAACATTATTTAATATAAAACTTATAGCATATTGTACAGTCCTAAAATCTTGACAGAAATGAATTAAAAGTATTTAATTTATGCATGCATACCAATATTTTAAAGCTTTATACTGAATATAATCTCACAGAAAATCATTTGCATGTTTAAAATTGTATATATTACTGTATGGTACAAAGTGAGTAAAGGCTATCCTTTCATTGGAAAAAAAATGAAGGAGAAAGTTAATATCAGGCTTTAATTACTTTAAAGGCTTTGAAATATCATCTGAGCTTTGTAGCAATTTTTCTATTTAAATTAAAAAATGCACTGTAGCAATTATTTGATTTTTTTTTTACAATATACATATTTGTGTGTGTGACTATATTACTCTTTTAGAAACAATGAAGACTAAGGTGCCTGACTTTTATATTTCTCAGTTTTTGAACTATTCTGAATGATGCAAGAAAGAATATTGAGCCATATATTTAATATTTCATTGCACTGGGTGGTATATTTAAATCTGATTATAAATGCATGAATTTTGTGTTGTATTTTATAGTCTCTTTGAACTTTTTTGGTACTTTTATTAAAATTACAACTTGTAGGATGTGAACTCCGAAACTGGCCTTGCTTCCCTTATAGATAATGTTGAATTCATCTATTACTCTTTAGTTGGATATGATGTTCATTTAATTTGGCAAGATGATTCTTAACTTGTAATAATCTCTTGGAATATTTCCTCAACAGTTGACATTGAAGTGAGGAGAGGTACCCAGGCTGTGATTGAACAGGAAGAGACAGAGAAAAAGGAGAAAGAGGAGGCCAGAAAGAGGGAAAGATATGCCATCAAATTCAAGAGGGAAAATAAGGAGGGAACAGGGGACAAAAAAGAGGAAGATGAGAAGAGCGATGAGGGGGATGAGGTGTCAGATGAGGATCTTTCCCAGTATGAGGATTTTATATACCAGGCTTGTGAGGAGGATGAGGAGGAGACAGGTTTGAATTTTAATAACACTTTAAATTCTATGCATTTACTATAATAAAACTTTATGGCAATGTTCAAATTCTGACTTAGTCTAAAACTGCTTCATGATCCCCGGGCCAGATGTTGAAATATTAGGAACTCTACTGGTGCATGAATGAAATTTATTTTTCAGAAACTGCATTGAGACAGTTCCTTATTTATGATGATTTTGCTCATATTTTTTTTTCAAAGAAATCAATATTATTCTCATTTAATTGCAACCTTGTCTATTGTTTGCTAGCAGTGTTGATCTGAGCAAATAAGGTCTCTCTCCCCCAACTCTTTTTTATATTGTCCTTTCATATACTTGTAATCACATAGCTAAAAACTGCAGAATTTATCATCAATAGGCAATGTGTTTACTAGTAACCAGCCAAAAAATTGGAAGCAAAAATCAATTTTTGAAACTGTACATTCATGTACACAAATATAGATGAAAGGGAACAGACTGCATCCCAGCCACACTGGAAGCCATTGAAGAAATCTGGTGCAGAAGACAAGCCAAAAGAATTGGAAAAGATTGAGGCTGATCACCAGAAAGAGCAGAAACAAAGAGAAAAGGCAGAGAAAAAACGATTCAAAACCAAGAGACAGAAGACTGACGTTAGGTATGAGTGATAGTACCTGAAAAAAGTCTAAACGTTGGTGGGAGTTTTATTACAGTTGCATCTAATTAATCTGGACGCTTGTGTTCTCGAGCAAATCATCCGAATTGGTGAAGTGTCTAGATTACTGAAACATACTTAGTATATATAAATATAGATTGTTCCTCACAAATTTTGTCTGGAAGGTAAAGCATCCGGATTATTGGTGTCCAGAATAATGAGGCTTCAGTGTACTTTTCTTAGAAGACTCAAATTTAACTCCATTTTAAGAATGACTGAAAAATTACTAACAAATAAATGACATCACAAATTAGGCTAGTGGTTTATAGGCAAACAAGGAGATAAATGATCTGTATACAGGGAAATGTTTGCCCCCATTTTATTTTTGCCCCTTTCTCCCTACTCACAGACGGGCGAATTTAAAACGGGTATAATTTAAAAAACATTGTATAATTTCTTAAACAGAATTGGGACTAGGCGAATTTGAAATGGGACAAAATTGTTTGCAATTGTGAAAGGGCGAAAATAACAGGGAGAGAAAATAACCCTGTATACAGTATTCAAATCATTTGTCTCCTAACAGGGAGAGAAAATAACCCTGTATACAGTATTCAAATCATTTGTCTCCTAACAGGGAGAGAAAATAACCCTGTATACAGTATTCAAATCATTTGTCTCCTAACAGGGAGAGAAAATAACCCTGTATACAGTATTCAAATCATTTATCTCCTTGTTTGCCTATAAACCACTAGTCTAACTTGTGATGTCATTTATTTGTTAGCTACCCATTAAATTGTAGAATTGAAACACAAAACAGTTCAGAGTTTGTCCGTTAGTAGCCTTCTCTTTGCTAACATGCTGCCTGCCCTTAATTTTTTATGATTAGTTATTGAACCCGATAAAAAACATCAAAATGTATGTAGATTTTAATCACACATTTCCATATATCAGAGGAAGGTCCTATAGTCAGGCATGTTGTTGTATGTGGGTCAAGTGCTAAAATATTATGTCAAAAAGGATGATTTTCAAAGATAAGAGAAGGAAGTGCAACACAGATTGAAATATGCAGAGGAAACATTGTATGAAGAAATGTAATATACATAGACAATGATAAAAAGCCACCATTCTGTTAATACTCTTTTTACCATTTTTACTTATGTACTTTAACCACGGGGAAGTGCCAATTATGGGCATGACAAGCACATGGTAATTAGCATAATCATATGTGAAAGTCTCTTGGTTTTTAAAATTGATAACGTGGGTAAGGCATCATTAAAGATGACTCGATAAATATTCAATAGTCCTTATATATATAATTGAATCTCTGTGTTCATGTGTGCATTGGTACAAATATAAACAAGAGTGCCAAATGGAATTTCAGTCTTATACTTGTTTAAGGGATGTTGGACGTCAAGTATAAGAAGCCTTAGGGCTATCAGTTTGATGGTCAAAATAGCAAAGATTAAATCTAAACAAAGTGATATGTTTTAGCAATGTTGTACACACAGTTTAAAGCATACCATTTGACATTTCAGTCACTTACGGAAAAGCACTAAGTGACCACAAGAAGAAGTAGCTAGTTATCCCCTCACAACGGAGTTGGAAGGGATATAGTAACAAGCTTGTGTGTGGGGGTGGGTGGGTTAGTGTGTCCTTGTGTGCATAACAGAAGTGATGTAATTTGCATCGGGATCGATATTGAATGCTGCCTTGATTTTGCAATGGGAATGCTCTGCTTTGCAATGCTTTTTGTTTATTTAAGGGTCAGTTGTCAATTAGATAAAATAGAAATTAAGGCAGTTATTCTGAATCTGAGAATAACTTGAAAACAAGTTAGAATGCCATTTGACCACCCAGTATTCTATTTCACCCATCTACTTCATCAGAGATGCTAGATGGCAAGAGGACAAGGTCAAATATTAAGGCTGAAGACATAATGATTATTGATAATATAGTTAACATATCAAAAATAACATATCAGTCTGGGAAAATTTCCCACTCTTGTTGGCACTCTTGATAAAGATTCAAGGTTAAAGATTAAAAATTAAATTCCAAAAAGAATATATATCATTGTCAACTGTGAGTATAAAAAAATAAGTTATGATCATTATGAAATGGTCAATTTCATGATGTTACATAACTATTTTTTTTTACATTTTATTTGGGTTCACAAGTAAGTGGGGGATACAACTAATTGTTCTTTGAAAGCTTTCTTCTCCCACAGACTATTTAATATGCAGTCTATCTCCTTCCTATAGTATCTGAGTCATATTTCTAAGACTAGAGGATTAACCTGTTTCTCTGACACTTTAGGAACATTAGAGGCTGCAACCACAAGTTAACATTAGAAGATAAAAACAAATGAAAGGAAACTAGGTTTCCAGACTTTTACCAAGAAAGAATTGTATTAAATATAAAAAGGATTTTGTTGTAAAACTTGATTCATTGACTTAAAAATGTCCTAATTTCATTTTAATGGCTATAAAATTAAAATTCTACTTGTGGTTTGAATTTTTGTATCAAAATGGTGTTTATTAGTGAAAAATTCTTACATAAATGTTAGTAAATAAAAGCATAATTATGGCAAAATTTAGTAAACAGTGTAAATGGGGAATCCACTCATAATGTGTTTTTTAATTTTCATATGGTATTCAATTGGTATTTTTCCATGCAGTTACATGTACGTATTTCTATGTTGGGTAATATGAGTCTGAATTTTATCTTGCAAGTCTGAGAAATATATGCAAGGGCTCAAATAGCCAAAGCTTGTTGCCTGATCCCATTGGATATAAGGATAATGTATTGAAGACCTAAACATCTTAAAATGAAGGAAGTTAATCCCTGTTAGAATCAATCATATTGATTAGATGAATTGACATAAAAAGGTTTGTTTCCTGTAACCTATCAGACCCACTTTAATAACTCCCAAGTTTTTTTGTTTTGTTTTTGTTTGTTTTGATTTGGGGGTGGGGGGTGGGGTGGGGTTATGCGTTTGAAGTTTTTTTTTCAATACGCTAATGAATCAAAGCTGTCATGTCATTTGCAGCTGCTTTTGTCAGTGAGGAACTCATAATTAAATTATTAATCTACATGTAGGCATAGAAAAAGCCTTATAAGATGAATATACATGTACATTTAACAGCATAATCTAAAAAAAATATACTGATAAATTAGTTGTTCGATTTGGATAATAGTTATTAGTTCCAACAATAATCATAAACTACAGTTTTCTGCAAATTATATCAAATATTGTAACAGTATTATATGATCTACTGTATTATATTTTGTATCGTTATATTAACTACATGACCAGGTATATTATCATACCTCTTCAATATGACTGTAAGGAAGACAAACTAGGCACACATTGCCTTGGCAAACACTGGACACACAAGACTGAAAGTCTGCTATTTTGCTTCTTTACATGCTTTATTGTAATTCAGTAATTTTTTATTCCTAGGGAGGTAAGATCTATGGTAAAACAGAGGCCACAGCCAAGAAAACCTAAAGACGAGGTCGCCCTGGATGTGAGAACTGACCTTGTGCAGGCAGATGACCTTTTGGTATGAGTTTTATATTATTTTTTTGTTTTTATATCTAGATTATTAACCCAGGTTATACTGGTTAATAGATATATTGACTTTTGATACAATACTTTAGATTTATTTGAAAACCTTGTCTGAGACTCTGGTTTCATTCATTTTCATGTGGATCAAATTGTGTGGTTTAAAGGACAAAAAAAAATACATTTTCGTTGATCAGTAAATTTGTGGACAGATGCCTCATCTTATTCTATCATAAGAAAAATGTTGTACTATGTTGATTACCTAATTTTGTGGTCAGGCAGGCTCAAACCTGACAAAACAACAAAATTTTATGTTCAATGAATAATTATGAAACCTTATTTAGTATAGTGTAATATGATATATGTTACAGAAGTCAACATCCCAATGATCCCCACTTCCTTTATGACACAATTTTTAGCTTTTTCTGAAATTACAGTTAACATGAAAAGTTTTTTTTTTTCAAAAGAAGATATTAAAAAGATGGGTAGGCCAATGCATGATATTAAAGTTGACCTTTGACTGATTATAGGGTAAATCAGCTCCAAGCCTGCATTTAGAATGGAAGAAAGAAGAAAACCAGGAGGAAGAGAGTGAGTACAAGCTAGCGGTCCAGAGATACATGGGGGTGGTCAAAAGTGTCAGGAGGGTACGCAAACTCCAGGGTCACATGAATGGGGTAGTGTGTGTACACTTTGACAAGAAGCGTCTAATATCGGCCGGACTGGACAGATGTATAAGGCTGTGGGACGTCCGGAGCGGTCAGAGTATACACAAATTCTATGGACACAAGGTCAGCATTTGAGATATGTTCGATACTGTAAACAAACTATAATTCGTTCACAAGAATTATTTGTTAATGATAGGTTAAATAGCATCAGATGTTTGATATTTTAAACAAACTATAATTTGCAGTCAGGTTAGTCTATTCTGTTGATAGTAAGCATTGATATCAATGTTTTATTTCTGTAGGGTGGAATAAGATGCCTGCAGTTTGAAGGCAACACACTCATCTCTGGCTCATGGGACACAACTTTAATTGTAAGTAGTGCTTCAGCAAACTTGCAGAAAAGACTTTGTTTATTGAAAATCTACTTCCTTTACTTAAGAAATAAGGTATCATTTTTAAACATCTATCGGGATATAAATAAGGGTTGGTCACGAGATCAAATTTCATAAAGCCCGAAGGGCTTTATGGTAAATTTGATCTCGTACCAACCCATATTTATATCCCGATAGATTTTTTAAAATCTTACCTTATTACTTATATTTACATTTGTGACTTATTCATATTATTTATTAGCCTGATTATAACCTTTAACACATGAAATGTTTTATTTTTTCAAACTCAACGGCACGAGTTTGATCTATTGATTGCGCGTCGACCCTTTATGACGTCACTGAGAAATTACGTCAAACATTTATGACGCGAGGAACCCGTGTTTATACGGATATAGATACGCGTTGCTTTTAATAGTGTTATATAAAGGAAAACATTTACAAATGTAAATATAGTACTATAAAAACTGGATCAAGAGACAAAGGATAATATATTATTTTCAAAAAGAAGCCAAATCATATTTCAAAAAGAAAATTGTGAGGGAGAAAAACATATATAAAGAAATGAGGGTACTTGTGGATTTGTAGGTGTGGGATCTTAAGGCATTTGAGAAAAAAGCTGTATTGGATGATCACAGAGGCTGTGTGTCTTGCGTACAGATGAACCATAAGTACATGTAAGTTTGTTTGGCCTTGCACTAGAATGACGCTCTGTCATTGAGTAACAAACATCATGTTCCTGCCTTCATTATTTATATGGAAGGTGAGTAGCAAAAAGTTTGATGACAACTTGGAGGATAAAACAATGTTATGTCATCTAAATTTAAAGAGAAAATCATTCCAGTACTATTTTTTCTTTTAAAAGAAAGCAATAAATTACATCCTTACCAATTTGGCAATGCTGCGATTAAATTTAGAGGAGTGCCCCTTTTCAGTGACATACGGTAATAGGTAAACAACAAAATGACTAGTGAAGAAGATTACCACAGACAAGAAAATTGTTTAATTGCAATTGATCTCGGTAGGCTTGTTAACTGTTATTGGTCCTCAACAAAACATAAGACTTATTAGGTTTGTTACTGACTGTCCACAGAAATATGGCATGTTGTTCAAGTCCATGGAAGCCTCGGCTTTGCCTTGCCTTCCATGGTCTTGAACAACCTGCCATATTTCTGTGGACAGTCAGTAACAGACCTTCTAAGTGATAATGATTGGACTAAATACTTAATGGACAGTGAACTTAATTTTCATAGTTTTGAAATTTCTTGCAATGTTTCTTGTGGTGTCAATTCTTCATAGGAAAATTTAAAATCATATTTGATAGTGTGCAGTAGCAAAAGGTTTAATATGTTGTGTTGTCTGTGTTTGAAAAAGAATGTATTTCGTAGGCAGATTCCGGAATCAGAGTTACACTTCATAATTGTAAGTTGACATTTGTAGACTCTCAGGATCACATGACAAGACGGTGAAGTTGTGGCACAGAGTGACATTTCTGCACTACAAGACAATAGAGCCAGGTCACAAATCTGGCATCCATTGCTTGCATTATGATGGGGAATGTGTTGTTACAGGCTCCAGTGACATGTAAGTGTCAAAAGTTAAGATAATTCTAAATTGTCTGACAACTAAGAACATGTACAAGCTTAGGAAAAAAGAGCATTCATAGCTTAAAAAGAGCAGACAACCTGGTGTTTTGAGACTAGTGGTATAAACCAGGGTTATAGTTCTTTACATTAAAAGTAGTAAAAATCCCAGATTAAAGTGTGAAAACATTATTGAGATCAAACATTTCATTTTAGTTAGACTGGTCTGACAATGACAAATTTATGCAAGGTTTGACATAATAAACATTCTTGTTTTTGTTTATTTGTTTGGGGTTTTTTTGGGTACCATCTTTTTGTTGTACCATCTTTCATCATTTTTTGGGGACTATTAATAAATACTTGGGATTGTGTAACCTTACAAGAAGGAATTCAAAATTGAAGTCCTTTCCTTGTTGATTTTATGAGAAAAGAAGAAACATGACAAGTGCTAGAAACCAATTTTCCAATACCGAATTGGCTGGTCGAGATTTTGGACAACACTGTCATTTCTTAATTTTCAATGAGTTATCTTTCTTTTGTTGTCCACATTTGACTGATTAATCTTTATTTTTCTCAAGCCAAGAAAACACTTAAATTTATAACTTGCATAACTAACAATGCAAATTACCTCATACATCATTGCTCTATCAAAAAATTGTAATTGAAAACTAATATTAGAGTTATTTTTATGCCTTCATTTGCAATAGTAATACAATGGATTTGGATTAGAGCACAGTGAAAAGTTCAAAGTTGGTATGTAGGGTTAATATAAATATTAAGAAAGAGTTTTCCCACCTGTTCAATTAAAGAAGTAGGGGATTTTGTCTGAGGAATTTTAATCACCAATAATGCTATGTGATGGAATGGGAAAACAGGGAAAAAAAATGGCATTCTTTTGGCTTGCCACATTCTTTTATTCTGTTGTTAGGTATCCTAACATGTAACTAATTAGTCAATTGATATAATTAATGAGCTTGCAGTGTTGAGGGAAAAGTACAATCATTTATTATCCATTCATTTTTTATGTTATTGAAAATTCTCACTTTGTCATGCTCCTTTATCTAGAATTGGTGTAGAAAGGTCAGATTGCAGGAAAGGGAGGGGGATTCATGTTACCTGAAGGGGGATCAGTGGTGTATTGAGACATACACAGTAATACTGCAGTATTTTGTAAGTCAATAAACAAAATATGAATTTTTGCATGATAGTTTATATTCCAAATATTTGAATTCTAATCTCATTGAGAGACCTAGCCATATTTTGGATGACTTTATCCAATTTTTTTTTATTCTAAGACTTCTTCTTCATTCTTTGAAAAAAAATAAGCAAATCTGCACTTTTTATATGTACACAGAAAGATAGACAATTAAATCACAAACAGTGTAGATTACATATTTCAATAAAATACTAAAACCAGATTTTCCTAGTTTTGAGACAGAATATTGGGTCAAGAATTAGAAGTTTGTTTTTTTTAAAATTTTTTTTCATTTTGTTTTGTTTTTAAGATTAAAAGTGATTGTCTACAATATGAAAAAAATTCATTAATTACCTCAGGTGTACCTTTAATATTTACTTAATTTACATGCAATTAATGCATTGATAAGCATCTTCTATGCCTGTTTTTCTATTCCTTGCAAGAACATCCTGCCAGTTTTTTTCTTCCATGCTCTTTGCACATCATACCGACACATGCAACACCATTTGTCATATTTTCAGCACATTTTAAAAAGGGTTTTGAATATTTCCTGAAGACGGTCATTTTTCAACAGTGACTCATTCTAAAAACATTCATTCACTGGATTTAGTTTACCTTTATTTCGAAGATTTTAAGAAAATTAATTAGGTCATGGTCATTTCAACCTGAATATAAAACTTCTACATGCAAGCTTTGACCTAGTGAGGTACTAGTGCTGATTTGAAAGTTCTCTTGAATTTTGGAATTTTTAAGCTATATTAATTAATTTCTGTGAAACTTTAAGGGTCTGACATTAATTTGAATGCCTTATTTAAGACCCTCATTTAGTATACTTTTGCATGTTTTAATTAACATTTGACTTTTGTTTTAAAAAAAAAACTTTGACATTTTTATGATAAAAATGTTGTAAATGTATATCTTCTTTATTTATTTTTTTCTGCTTTCGAGAAAAATAAAACGCAAAACATAATACAAATAAAATGTTATGCTAATTTATTTACCAACAGATCTGCATATAGTAGTACATTGTAATCAAATTTCTTTTATTGTATGTGGTTGTACAGATCGCATTTCTGGTTGTTATTTTATATATATATAAAGTACTATGGTTTATATGATTTCTTGAAAATAAAAATGTATAAAGTTTTGTTAAAAAAATTGCATAAATAGTATTTTTTTATGAATTAAATAACATGTTATGACAGGGTATTTCATCAAGTGACGCATAGTTTTCTTTGAATCATTTGTAGAAAATTCTTTCATGAAATGCAATGAGAAATGGTGTGTTTCATTTATACACTCTATTCTACTAAAACAAGGCATACGATTTGTCAACCAACTGCAGGGGGGCTGAAGAAAGTCTTCTAATTCTGTTGTATAATACAGGTCCTAGTGAGTCATGTCTGATGTTATTTTATATGTCTAGGAATTTGTATTTACAAATGGCAATGCCATATATGATTTAATTACCCCAAATGTTTGTTTTACATGATGAAGAAGGAAGTGAGTCCACCAATAGAAATAAACCAGGTCATTCACAAACGAGCATCTCCGTAAACGCATTAAAAATGTCCACAGGGTTCCTTAATAAAGTATTTAAGAAAGACTATATATATATCATCAGCTATTTTAAAATGGGAAGAGGTATAGTTTATATACTTTTAGGTCAGTTGAAAATATAATTGACAAGTTGAGGATACTCTGTTGTATGGTTTAACAAGGCAATTAGCCCTAATTATGACATTCTGACGGAAGCTCATAATCATTTTAGATATTCCTCTTACGATGATTAGCCTTGAAGTTTTGTGCTCGCTAAAATGTTCCACACTTTCCTTGACAAGTTAAGGACATAAAATATAATATTATATCATGCTTAAACATTTACTCATACAGTTATGTGGTCTTTAAGTAATGTATTTGTGTGTATTTTAGCACATTTAATTCATTTTAATTCACTTTTTAGCATACCACTTCAATTTTATTTGTGTGAGATACTGCATTCTTTCAATGTTGAAATAAAATTCTATATAAATTCAAGAAAAATGCAAATGTTTGAAAAGTTATTCAGGATTTATTGTACACACATTCCAGGGAAATATTTTTATTTAATATGAATGAGAAAGAAATTAAAACATGTTTATGCATGCAAAATTTATAAATTTCTGTATTTTATATTCTTTTTGATGTGAATAATGTTACAGTACTGTCAGACTGGTAATGCCAGATTCATACATGTATCATCAATTTTCCTTTTTATGATAAGAAAGTGGTAAAACATTGAAAAAGAATTTGGATGATACACACAAGTTGAAATATTAGATACATCAGAGAAAATGATACTGGCTAACAAGTAAAGAAACATTTTGCCCTTCCCATTCTACTGGTAGTGTGTGTGTTATAAGGGCATTGATTCATCTACTTAGTAATCTGTGCACAGAAAAACTAATTGTATTGATGATTCCCACTAATTGTATAAGAGCTGTTTAATTCTGACATAGAGATGTTTGTAAACTTGAGTGGGGTCAGCCAGGGCTGCTCTCTTTGTCTGTCACTATCAATTAGTGTATCAGAGGAATTGTTTAGATCACTACAACTCTTTCCTATTAACTCTCATCGTAGATAATGTAAAGTGGGCACCTCTTCCCACAAGCTTGCTTCTTTTGAAGGTTTTACAGAATGACAGTTCCATGTAAACAATTTGGCTGGGGTTATGATAAGATGTATTTGTAAATATTTGATAGAAACTACTTGATATATGTCTTTGAAGTTTCTTTCAGTAAATGTTGCTTAATATTGATTCTGATTTGGTTGTTTTTTTATACTTGCAGGACACTACGACTCACAAATGTTGATACAGAGCAGTGTTTGCATGTGTTTGAGAATGGCCAGAACCAGGTTTTGTCAGTTTTGGTAAGAACATGGGTGGATCCTGACAAGAAAAGTCATGCCTGTTGTTATGCCATCATGAAAGAGCACTTGAAAATCTTTGATCAAAAGTCATCTAGATTAACTTAATATGTTTTTTAGTAAAATGACATTAAACTTTTATCAGAAAAACTTCATCTTTGTTTTACAACAAATTTTGGTCATTATCATTAAACTGAATAACTTAAATTACACGGGCACTTAAAATTTCAATATTTAAATGGAAGAATACCACTTTTGTCCTTCAGTATGTTTGGATTAGAATAATTTTTTATATGATTTGTGTTTATCCATCTACACAAAGTTGACATCAAGAAAACTTGCTTTGTGTATATTTGTTGTATTTCAATCATATAAGTATAAGCATCTGATCTCTTATTTTTGCAATTATAAGTAAATCTTTTTTTTTTTTGTACATTAACATGTATGGTTAGCATAATTGATTTATTGATTCATATATATCATTTCCTAAAATTGCAAGAAGTTCAAATCTGTTTTGTTCATCAGATGGAATTCTTTTTTGGGAAATGGAGTATGCACACGATCCAATGAATAACAATGTACAAAACAGATTTCTAACAGATTCATTGCATTTAATTGGTTAAGTTTTTAACTTCCATTTCTGATAACAGGAGAATAAAAAATGTCTCTTTGAGGAACTAACTTGATAAGGACCAGTTCGAATTTTACAAAGACTGATTTTGAAAATTGGATTCTGTTAATTGAAAATCCATTATTTGATCATTTGAAAGTTATAAATAATTTTTTATGGAATTTTAAACAGAAATTCTGACCATAAAGTCATCATTGCTGAAGTTATATTTAATTTGGCTGACATGTTTATGAGGGGGTTGAAAATCAATCGCCTTTGTCTGTTTTAATGTAAAGTTGAATGACAAAATTCTTATGAAAAGAAGTCAAACAACAAGGTCGGAGTGACTGAATTTTCTTTATTTGATAGTTTTTTCCCACTAACGAGAATTAAACATGTAAAGTTTGATTTTAATTTGTCTTCATTGCCACTCATTGATCATTGTAAGTGACATCTTGCAATGTAGCTTGCCAATTTTCTAATGATATCAACTATGAAATGAGGTTACACCCTTGTAATAGTCAAAATTAGATTTTATTACTTTTAACTTTAATATTGTGCCAAAAAACTCTTCCAAATTTAATCAGACCTTGTTATATTTTCATTTAGATCTAATATGTTGTTTGATAATTTATTATTGTAGGTATAGATCAAGTGTAAGAAAAATCCTTTTAAAGATAAATACATAGAAATTCTTACTGCTGGGATAATGACATTTATAAAGTGGTCAAATATGATACAGTAATATGACAAGTCTCTTTATATAAATTTTATTAGTTCGTGTTGCAGAATCATCGACAGTCATTGCTAGAAATTTCAATATACTTCCACATATTCCACACTTAAGAAAATCGTTTATTTCAAAATCATAAAAATTGAAGGTAAAAATTCATCTTCCAGAGAGGTTTTTGTTCCTGTTTTTTTTTTTTTTTCATTCTCTGTTCATTTGAGTCATGATTTTTCTTTAAATTATAATTTTGTTTCAGTAAAGTTAATAATGGATAATGGATATTATATTTAATACTCAGAAAGTTAAATTGATCACTGCATTTCCCATTCCTAGTTAATATCATCAACATGTACAACTGACACAAACATTTTTCATTCTTAGATAAACATTAACCATGATGATTATGTACAGACAATGCTGTGTAAGGTCATTCTTTAGCATTCAATTTCAGACAATTAAATTTGATTTGTTCTCAGTAAATTCATTCTTGCACCTAAAAGTAAGGTTTTTTTTATCATTGGTTAATGATATAAACTTCAGGACATACACTGACGTCAAAACTGAACTTATGATTTTCCTTCTTTGATAATAAAATTAGAAATGGATAAGGATGCATTACATATAATGTATCAAAAATATCCAATATCCAATCCAATATTTATCCAATTATAATTATGTTTAAAAATTGGAATAATAATAATGTCTTTGTATGTTTGACCATCTGAATCTGTCCCACTTTGTGTCTAGGCATTGTAGTAATCAAAATGAATTAAAAGCTTTTACCTTATTTAAAGGAGAGATTGGTATGATCCTGGGGTGTGTCATTGATCTTGACCCTTATCCAAGGTCATTTGAAAAGTTTTTTAAGGAATTGCATTTTGTAGCTCACATTTTACCCAAAGGGTGCTTGGACTAGAGAGTATGATACAATCCTCAGCCAAGGTCATTTAAAGGTCAAGGTTACATGGAATGGCATAACAAGTTTCTTTTTTTTCTGTCTGGATCATAGCTCTATGGGAAGAGATTTCTTGATCATTGTAAAAGTACTGTAAATCACTTTATTCACGAGAACTTTATTTTCGCGTAATTATGCGAGACAGTATCTTCGCAAAAATTTCATTCTCATGTATAATTGTATTCCTAAAGATTATATAGAGCAATTCGTGAAAATTTGGTCTCGTTGATAAAGAGTAAATGACTATCTCACGAAAATAGGTGTCACGAAAATTTAGTGATCTACAGTAAATGAATTTGCTTAATTGATCAGAGAGTGCATGATAAACTTATCAACATTTTCTTTGTGCAGATCCAGGGAGACTTGCTGCTGAGTTCTGACACACAGGGACATGTTTATTTCTGGAATGCTCGGACTGGTGAAAGTGAGGCTGCCATACAGGCCCATGATGCAGCAGTGAACAAACTTGCGTTCCACAAAGGTCGCTTCTTTACAGCATCCTCGTAAGTGACAGTCGTGTTGCACTGTAGTGCACAAATAACAAATGTACTTCATGGACATTAATGTCTGGAATTTGATGTCAGGTTATACATGGCAGTGTAGAGACCAAGACATCCATTGAAAACAGGGTTTATAATAATTTGTTATATTAACTCAAGAATTCTCATTCTGTCATTTTTTTCCCCTAAAATTTAAAGATGTATGAAAAATACAAAATCTCAAGATATATAATCTCATTTATATAATAAGAAAGATTTTTTTTTTTAAATTCCTGGTGGATATATTTTCATGATCATTCTGTTGCATATGATCCCTGGAAATGTTAAACAGACAGTTATGTAAAATGTGTTGATAAAAATTGTTTCCTGCAAATGTCAACTTTATGGTCATTAAAGTCTTTACAAGATTTTATACGTGATATGGGTAAAAAGGTGATATATCTGGGATGTGGTAATGCCAAGATAAAAGGTACTAGCTTAGATTTTATTCAAAATAATTCTGGAACAGTCTTGTAGGTTACATGTTTAATGTAATGAAATTAATTAGTCTATGTGAAATTTTAGGATCTCAAGAGAAATATTGTCTTGATCTCAAATTTACGAGGCTTAATCTCATATTTCATACAAAGAATTGCAATGTGGTGAAGTTGTGTCTGTTACATTTTGTTTTGGCCACATGATGCTTATTGCTGACACTCATAATTTATCACCATTCTCTAGTTCTGAAATACTTACTGTAATTTTTAGTTATAAAACACCCCAAATTAATGAATGCAAATACTTGTCAGAAAACTTGTGAAATTAAAAAGAATTTAAAGTGAAAATGTCAAAGGTATATAAATAAATATGATTTAGACGATATGGGTTTGGAGGTTGGCCTTCTTTAGATAGGACGGCATGGTTCTGGGGTGGTCATTAACAAATGTATAAAATGATTAAAAGGGGAAAGTTTAATTACCAAGTCAGTAAATCTAACACAGAAATATAGTGATGATTCATTTGAATTAAATATTAAGAAATTTCCTTTAATATTTACATCCACTGAATGTTTTTTTCCCTTTATTAGTCCTTATACCAATGAAACTGGAGGGGACTACAGGTTTCCTCCTTGTCTGTTCATTTGTCTGTCCCTCTGACAGTCTGTCCCCTTGGTTTTCCACACTTTTTTCTAAACACTTAAAGATATTGAGCTGAATTTTGGTATGTGAATGTATGTTGATGAGTTACAGATCAATTTTGCATTTTGTTCTGCTAATTTTTTATGGAATTATTTTTAAGGGGAACCAGATTACACTTGCTGGTAGCTAGGGGACTATTATTGCTTATGCAAAACTCTCAGAATGCTTCTTTCTTATGAAAACCATGTAGCACTTTTTCTGAAGCAATAAACAAAATTTACTTCTAAACTAGTTACCAGTAGATCCAGTTTTTGAGAGTAGGGTCATCCCTATTACGATATAATCGTATGACTTTTGCATCTAGATGGTGCACTACGCCAGAAAGAAAACTTTTCTGACCACATCTATTAAACTTTTCATGTATTTTATTCACAATTCATTCACATCCCTGTCCCCCAACCAAAAAAAGGAAGGGGGGGGGGGGGGACAGGATCTGCTTAATTAAATGGATGGTTTATGCCATTTGTTCAAATTATGTATATGTATGTTGAGAACAGACAAACAAACTGGCAATCATGCTTCATGGATGAAAACATACTTTAATTTTCTTCTCAGTTAAGATAACCACAGATAAATTATATTGTCAGATTAAATCTGGAGGAAATATGCAGAAATTGGAAAACATTTATTATATTTAGTAAGTGCGGCATTAATGTCATTGTAACTTCTATAAAAAATGAGGCATATGTCAATGACCTGAAAAAATATTAATAAAAGAAGACCTTGAATAACCATACAAAAAGTGCAGGTAGGCATGTTTTTTTTTACTCATAATTTATCATAGACGAAGGCAGACAATTTTTTTTTCAGTATATAAAATTACATTGCTGTTATATTCAAGTTGCTGCAACTTTGGTGTAACAAATCAAACTTAATTCATTTTTTTGAGAGGGGGAAGAACTGGATGTGTCTGATTGTGTCATTTTGATGCAAATGACATACTAGCAGTCTGACATGTCAAAATTTTCCTCAACTCCAGGGTCAACTGGGGCAACCTTCAACTCAGTGTGTAAATCATCATGAAACTTAAGGCCTCAGTAAATCAATTCTCTGTTTTACGTCCCAGGGTGGTAGGTTTTCAGGAAAATCAATTTTAAAATAAGATGTGTTTGTAAAAAACTGATGCTCCCATATGGCAGCTCAAGGTGAAGGTAAAAGTTTCTCAAATGCAAGTTGTACTCCCAAGGTCAAAGTAAACAAATCAACATTGTTGGTACTCTATGGAAGGTCTTGTCACAAGGAAGACACAAGTGAAATATGAAAACCTTAGAACCAACTGTTCGAAAGTTATTGCCAAGATTAAAGTTTTTCAAAAGTAGGTCAAACTCCAAGGTCAAAGTCAAAAGGTCTTAATTGTTGGTACCCAAGGGAAGGTCTTGTCACAAGGAATAAACATATAAAATATGAAAGCCCTAGTATCAAGCATTCAAATTATGGCCAAGGTTAAAGTTTTTCAAAAGTAGGTCAAACTCAAAGGTTAAATGGTCAAAATTGTTGGTACCCTAGGGAATGTCTTATCACAATGAATACACATGTGAAATATGATAGCCATAGTACCAAACATTCAAAAGTTATGGCCAAGGTTAAAGTGTGGTAGAATTTTGCAAAAGTGGGTCGAACTCCAAGGTCAAGAGGTCAGATATGTTGGTACCAAAAGAAAGGTCTTGTCCCAAGGAATACACATGTGAAATATGAAAGCCATAGCCCCAACCAATCAAAAGTTATGGCCAAGTTTAAAGTTTTTGCAGACAGACAGACAGATAGACAGAAGGATGGACAGGGCAAAAACTATATGCCCCCAAATCTTAGATTACGGGGCACAAAACAAATACAGGTTTGTCATATTTTTAAAACTTTCTCTCTGTATTTCAAGTTATGGAAATATTGCAAGCCTGTATATTTTTAGGATATAGTATTTTTGCATGTGATCTTTCAGAGGGAAAAAGAAGAAATAAAAAAAATATAAATAGGGAAGCAGAATTTAACAGAAGTTCAAATGTATTCTATTATATTAATGCTGATGTGCAATTTATAAAGCAATATTTTTTCTAATTTTTGACAATCTTGTAATATTTTTTGAAACATTTTTTTTTTTACCAGACTGGAGGGTACCTTTTCAAAGAATTCAGGGACTAAACAAAGTTATTATTTACCACAGCATAAACTATTTTCAGTCATAGGAAGAATGCCTGCACAAAGTTAGACCATTTTAATTTTTTCTGTGTTAACTGACAAAAGATGATGTAAGCTTCAGCTATTTATCTTGGAAAAGGTTGAACCAGGTCTTATATATATATACACAAAATTTATGACCTTTTCAATACTGACAAACTTTGATCTGATGCAAAATGGCCAGTGTATGTCACTGCTGAGTGTCCCATGTGATTCAAGAGCCATCAAAAGTATTATGAAAATAAACAATGCTTGAGAGTGTTCAGGAGGGTCTTCACAATATGAAGACTGAAAAAGATTTAATGTAGCCCAAATTTTCTCTGCTGAGAAAATTTAATAAATATGACTTTTCTTGCAGGGATTGCACAGTGAGGGAGTGGGATTTACTTACCATGACCAGTGTCAGGGTTCTCCAAGGTCACAAGGGGCCCATCAGGGATGTCAAGGTAGGCAAAAAAACCAATGCATTGGAAGTGATTCCATGATTTACAAGGAAATCAGGGAAGGTTTTTTAATGAACACAACATTTTTAAGTTGCTTTTTTTCACAATGATTTCACGCAAGATTTTCTCAAATCTAATTCTCCTAATTTATTGCTATTCTTTTGAAACATGAAAGTTATGTATTGTAGATAAATCCAATGTCAATGTCTTGTGAAAATAAAGTTATATAAATTGTAAATTAGTGTAGAAGAAAACCTGCTGATATAAATGCAAATGAGTTTTTTTTTTTGTTTTGGAAACAGGAAAGGGGGGGGGGGGTGAAACTGATGATTTCATAGAAATTTAAGGTTGTTTTCTAAAGTTAAAAAAATATTCATAACAATAAGTTTAAAAAAATATATAGTTTTACTTTTAATGGTCTAATGTCAGTTAGTTTTCTAATTAAAAAAAAATACTTCATGTCCAATGGGAATTGGACTTTTTATTGGTCCTCCACCAAAATGCACTTAAGATAATCATGTAGTCAAAATGTTGCCTTTACTCCGAGAGAAAAAAAAGTTGATCATATGATCATTTTTAAGACTTTTTATGACAATAAAAAATGTAATAAAGAATTAACCTGACAAGAAATATTTCTGCAAGGTATCTTTGAAAGTGTAATTAAATTAGCTGACAGTATAATCAGAGATAATTTATACTTTCATGGTCATATTTCTGTCATTAAATATTGAACTGTGAGGTTTCCTTCACATGTAATGAAGTCTTCCTCAACTTATTTAGAAGGTTAATTAAAATTTGAAATGGGTGTTAAAAGAGTTCATGCACACTTTGACGAATTTCCCTCCGATTGTTCATTGTGAATCATGCCTTGATTTATAGTAAAATATGAAAGTAAATCACTTTATAAAGGTAAAGAACAAAGGCAAATAACATGTCCAATTCATCTTCTTTATTTAAAGGTGTTTTTTTTTAAAGTATGATTTTTAAATTTTCAATTTTCCAAATTTATTTTATGATCGCGAGATTTTTTTTTTTTTTTTTTTTTTTTTTTGGATAACTAGTACAATATTTCCCACAATGACGGAAATGACCTTCATTTGAAGTGATCAAAGATTTTGTTCCAATACACATCAACAATGGGATCTGTCAAAAACTTTTCTTTCTGGATTATAAATAAGCCCTCATAATCGTTAACCTTCGCCCTGCCCGCTATTATTCGTCTGATCCTACTTTGCTAGGGGGGTCCTTTTTGGTGCATACTTGCGTTTAATGATGTGAGACACCTTGCTGAAAAAATAGATCATATCGTTTTTTTCGGGTGTAAGTTTATCCCCCACGTGGGCCACTGTTACCAGTCAGGCACCTGCCGCAGAATATTACCTTGCTGCCACAAAACAAAACAGTTATGTCATAACCGGAATAATCTATATCATCGTATTTGAAGGATTTGGTCAGACACACGTTTCTGAAAATACCAAGACCCCTAAAACCCGTAACTGTGTCAGAGTCCTGTACAGTATCTATATAGAGTCATTAGTTTCAAAATTAAAACTTAATTCAGTCGGATACACAGGACTGATAAAGGCGGAACTGATTTCAATATGCCACTTGTGCATTGCAAACACAAAGAATAAATAGTAAACAAAATCATTGTGTTGTAACTCTATATGGTTGTGACATTGTGCTTTTGTTGTTTTGCACCGACATATTCTGACAATCCCAGGGTCATGAGGTCAACTGTTGTAAGTATGAATAAATCAATGACATATCGATACATGTCATTAATAGTGATCCGGACACACCTTGGTCATATTAAAACAGTTTCTTCAACAAAAGCATAAAATTCAGAATTTTCGGCTCTTTAAACTTAAGATGTGTATATTGAGATAGGCACCCTTTTGTAGAAAAAAAGAATGCTTTGAATTCAAGATTAACCTTGTCCATCTAATACAGAAATAATTGATTTGTTTTGACAAGTAAATACCGATACGCAACGTTCTTTTTCCTGCGTTTTATTAGAAACCTACGAGGAAAATAAAACCCGATATTGTGCTTTTACGAAAGCATTTTGATTGGTGGAAAAAAAACTATGGAAAATGTTCTAAGTAAGATATTCTCTATTTTCTTTTAATTTATTTTTTACGACAGCTAGTCAAATTTTAAATAAAGGAATACATATAACAAGGCCTTAACCACCACAAACATTCAATATGTAGTATCAAGTCTATACATAAAGGTTAATTGATATTCAAAATAATCTTTCCTTTGATAAGAAAGTATATTTCAGTATTCTTGGTTGATTATCAAGAGCTCCCTGCCAGGAACTCCATACCATCTTAATCATTCTAATAAAGATATTCATCATCTTTAATAATTTTTAATGCGCGCTGAAAGCTTTATCTCGTCAAATTCTTGCCAGGACTAGCTGAGAAATTCATCAGCATCACTTGAATAAACGGTATTTTCTAACATCCGGTCTGCAGATGGCGCTTTGCGTCACTTACCAATTTCTGACGGTGATTGGTAAATTCAAATGGTTGTCATTCTCCGTTCCTTGCTGTAACCCTAAGTGTCAAAGGGTGCAATATTGGCCATTGTCTTGCGACGCACGTCGTGGCATATGAATTTCAGCATTCCTTTAGCTAAGTGGGGGAGATGAAATTCGATCGGATATTATCTGTTTTTGCTTTCTCTTTATACCGAAACCAGTCACAATGTTTGTTTCGAGTTAGCAAACCACGAGATTGCTGTGGGCATAAATCAAAAAAAGTTAAAAATGAACTCCCACTGTTGTGATCGTATCTGTCTTGAAGTGTTAAGAAGAGCCAAGAAAAGTCGCTTCTATTAATGATGTGAAAAACTGATGGGATATCATAATTCATTATTTTTATCATTTTTTCTGAGATAAATGACCAAAAAAAAAAAAAAAACCCACAGACTGTTGTAGACTGCACGTCATTCAATTGATAAATTTACCTCTAACAAGAAATATTCAGAACTATAGAAATCAAAAGAAGTATGTAGCTAAAGGATCGAAGAATTTTTTCATTCATAAAAGTTTTAAAAATAACGCCGTGAAACTTATCATCTGAGAAAGAAGGTTTATAGGAACACCTTCAAAGACAGGCTGTTTGTGATATTCATAATCATGGGTTTGATAAAGAATGATATGCTGGGAGGTTTTCGCGTTCAAAGGCATTTAAAAAACAACTAGTGGAATCAATTAAAACAGAACGATGATATTACTAGTTAATTCTGGAGGAAAAATCGTTGCGTCGGTGGGACGGCTACGAGTCTTATAAACTTCAAAATTGTTTCAATATAAATACATCATTTAAGGTAATTTAGGAGGTTATGTCAGAAAGTCTAATTAAAATTAAAATCAAAGGAATGGCATTTATAGATGCAATATTTATCATTTCTAAAACAAGAACGATGATAGAAGAGGTATCCCAATTGTGAAATTTCATTTCCTATGTTTCAGATATAGTTGTGTGTTGTGTATTTTTGATATATTTTATTACAATGTAGGTAATCATCTTCGAGATACAATTAACTTGTATATCAGCATGAAGTAGAATTTACTTTCCCATTCTTTCTGCTTATGTTCATTTAAGTCCGCCGCGTAGTTGCATCGTATTTGTATATATTTTTATACCCGTAAAATTATTGATTCTATATATATTCTAGATAAAACGTAAAAGATCATTGGGTTCTTTACTACTGTTCTCTACAAGAATTTATAATTTTTCAAAATTTAAATTTGTGTATATTACAATTATGTCATACACACAAATTTAAATTGAAAAACTATAAATTTTTGTAGAGGACACTACCCCTAGTATGTGTACCAATACAATAAAAGTTTCGCTGAGAGACTTAGGGTTACATACCACCTATATATCGCCATAGGTCAAAAGAATATTAAAAGAAAAAAAAGAGAGAGTTGAAAGAAAAGTGTGCAAACTGTGTATATAAAAGGAATATGCAAAATCGTTTCTGTTTTTGACATTGATGAATGTTATTTTGGTAAACTTTCACACAATTCTTGTTATTTGAAGCCACGAAAAAGTTAAACTTAGTAGTAAAAGTCATCTTTGAAATCATGAAAGGAAAAAAAAATTTGGATGCATAGTGTGGAGTCATGTTGAAAATCAAGGACGACGGCAACAAAAACATAAATTTCTGACAAAAGAATTCAGTTTAATAGACCAAATGAAATGTATGGAGGTAACGAACAGTATTCAAGCTCAGAAGTTCATTAAACAATACAAACTTTGGGACAGAGCAAACACGGACCTCTAAAACATCAGAGGTGGGATCAGGTGCCATGGAGGAGTGAGCATCCCCTGACAACCGGTCACACCCGCCTTGTGCTCCCTGTCATGGTCGGGAAATAACGGAAAAAACCGTTGACAATTCAGTGTGTAAATAATGACCTAACAATAAGTATGAAAAACGTCAGTCAGCATTTGACTTAAGATAAATTGTATTTGCTGGCAAGGTCATTGTATCGACTATAGAACTAACGAAATGACGACTTTAAACGAGACTGTTGATATTCTTGTTTCATCAACTTGTTTGTCAATAACCTTCCTTGTTTTAGAAATTGTTCTTACGTAGAGCATGCTCAACTAAAAACCCCGTATGCAGGTGATGAAGGTATATTGCTGCATAAGTAAGGGAAGTTGATGATTGTAAAGTTAAAATCATCACGTTTATCATAAAGCTTGATTGTTAGATTACCATTAACGTCTTTTTCTAGTAAAATATCCAAATATGAAACAGATGTGTCCGACTCTGTGGTATCTTTTATTTCAAGCTCACTGGGATATATCGTAAAGACCAAAAACAAATGAGAAAGAAAACTAACAATGCAGTTGATTTAAAGGTGCACATAGACTATAATTATAATTTATAAAAAAAAAAAAAAAATGTCCTGTTAATTACCTAAGACATTGTTTCTCCTATTGAATCTTCTATTTTGAGTACTGGTACTGCACTCTTGCGAGCAGACTCGAAAAGACCGAAATTTACAGCACATTCTTTATACGTTTCATAAAATGACTTATGCCGGAATATTGTGCAAACGGTGTATAAATTTCTGGGACATCTCTCACAGCCCATAAAATATTTTCATGAAAATAGTTCTACCGAAAAAGGACAGCTGAAAGTATAATTGTGGAAGGAGGTCAGCGCAGGCTATGTGACTCATCATAGAAAACTTCTCTTCTGAAGCGTTTATTATGAAAATAAAACTAGTTTAATTGCCATATTCATGAATTACATGTTTACACGTGCTTACGCTGAATGCAAATGTGTACTCTGCATTAACGGCTAATTAATCTGCATATTAACGAGAGTGTCATAATAGACAGTGCTGAAATGATGGACATGGAGTCGTTTTTTTTTTTAGGTCTCAAACGAACGCATTGTGACGTGCAGTGATGATGGCACCATTCGTATCTGGGATCTCATCGAAACCAAGCGATCTATACGTCATAACTGATCACTAATTCAGACCAACTGACGACGTGACTCTGATCACGTGATCCAAGATGGACCAGACGACACTCTATTATTGATACTCTAGTTTTGTAATAGTATTGTTTTGGTTGTTTTTGAAGTAATTTATTGTAACCATTCGCTGAGCTGTGATACCTCGTTAGATATTTTTGTGCCTTAACAGTTATGTTTTAATTTCTTAGTTTATATGTGTCACTTTAATCTCATACGAAGTATTAACAAGAAAGCTTGCCATTTTTTACAACTTTTTTCTCTTTCTCTCTCTCTCTCCCTTTTTTTGTATTCAGCAGATTTGTTGGTATTCTTAGCACGTATGTTATATTCGTTAACTAGAATATCAACTTCTTAGTCATCATTTCTTACTATGTGTGTTTAATATACGTGCACTGAAACACACACAGTTAAATTCTGGAAAACGTTGATAATTTTTAGTGCTTTCGATTGGTCGATTTATTAAATATGTGTGAGACACGAGTTATTTTCATGACACTGATGCAATAAGATCTAGTTCATTCTTTTTTTTATTTTATTTTATTTTAAGTCAGAAATGCATTTCTTATTAGCCAGGTTGTGGAGCAAAACCGGTATATGACTTTGCCTGTGTCTTCAACGACTCTATCTTGCAGGTCTAACGTTTGAGATCTCATTTTACAAAAGAACTTGCTACTTAGACCAACAACTTGAGTTCACAATTTTTTTTTTTTCAATATTGAGTTCACATTGACCTTAAATTTTTTTTTTCCTCCAAAAAGTCCATTTTAGCTCCTCCATTGAAAAATGTGTTGGTAAATTACGAGGACAAATTCAAGAATCACATTTGGAGTTTATCTAGACATTAGACTTTGAAATATATATCTTCTATAATTTCTTTTTAGCTCTGTTGTGGATGACCCATTATGATCATCATCTCCAAATTTTCCATGTAGATTATGATTAAGATATTTAGTCTTCGCGATTGACCTTGACCTTGAAATTGGTAAATGTGTTGATTTGCGACCTTGCAGATAACCTATCATGATTATGACCTTCATATTTCATCTGAAGGTACATGTACTAGTAAATCAATATGATATACTTTGACTACTCCCTATTTATTTGACTTTCGTCTTCGATTCCGAATTCCGTAAATGATTTGCTGAATTAAGTTTCTATTTATTTTTGTTTGTTTACTGTGCAGGAAATTTAAGACTGACCATAAAATTTTATCAATGGTTTGCAATCTGGACATGCCTTTGTAGCAGTTTGTTTATCAATTTACTGTTATCCTAAAGAATCATTTAGAAGTCTCATTTGTAATTTTTTTTTATCATGTAGGAACGCGAGAAATATTTTTAAGAAATGATTTAAGTGAGAAGAATGTTAGCTCAAGTTAGTTCAAGAAGGTGATATGATTTTTTGTAGAAACCACTTACCAGGTGCTTCTACAATGAGTGGGTTCTCAAACTTCCTGGAGACTGTAAAGGAGTAAACTGACAAATACTCTAGTTAAACAAAAATTCTGTATCACCGTGACAGTTCTATTGAAATTATTCTCCTCAAACAGTATTTTTGTTGACCAGTGCGGATAAAACATCCATGATGAGTTTGCATCCCTTCATGATCTGTATTTGAATTATATATATATCATTAGTGGACAACATTTTATATCAACGGTTAATATGATTGTTGAGTAATGATACACTTATATATCAGATGGACATCCAGTTATGCTTCATTATATGGTTTGTGATTTTTTTTTTATCATTTGTGAGCACTACTCTTTACCCCAATATTTCATGTCACCGTGTTACAAAAATAGATTCACAGTTTTTCATCACCACTAGTCATTTTTTAAGAATTAAGCACGATCATGTTTCCTTTAATGAACATGTATAATCAACATGTGTTGTTAATTATGTTTTATTATGATCAAACGCTCAAAAATATTATTTTTTATTATATTCATTAATATATTGATTTTTCAATTTTTTGGTATAAAATTTTTTTTTTCATATTTACATATATTTATATCTATCAATCTATTTATTATATACAATGTACGTTTAAGCATTTAAAGAATGTGTCTGTGACGTTTTGTATTTAATCATGTTATATATACATAATATATGGGAACGGAAAGAATTTATTTGAGTGGATTAATTAATCCTTTTGTTGTTTCTTTTAGTAATTAAAGAGTTAAAATAATAATTAAGAGAGGATGCAATAATTTGTGGTTGAGGGATTTTTAAAAATATATTATAAACTGCTCTGTATGGGCAATGACATAAAAACATTTTATTTCAATTCAAATTGTTAAACGATTTGTAATCATTGTAATTTCTCTAACGAAGAGGTTGGCTATTGACGTCAAAATTAACTCTTCCTTCCAAACATTTTGCTTTGAACTTTTTATGCATCGTATTAAGTGGTATTAATAGACATTCATGACTCATTAAAGTTCAAACTGCACATCCGATCTGGCTGTTGGAAACTCGAAACAACATTTATATATTTAACTATTGTCATCTTATGATTTGTTTTATTTGTGATGTGCTTTCTATTTAATTGTTTTAAATAAAATGTTGAAATCTTACGGAATGTCTTGATATTTTATGAACATTATCTTATCACTGGAAAATTAAAATCTGACTATGCTATTCTGTTATCAGGTTGGAAGAAGGAATGTTGAAGATTATTTTCTTTCATATATATATAAAATTTTCAAATTTGGTCATCTTTAATTTTATTTCATCTGATTAGAAGTACATAAACTTTAAATTCTACCTCCCTCCCCCTTCCAAAAGAAAAAAAACGTATTTTACATGTTTTACAATGAAAATACTGTACCTACTAGTAATTTTGTTTGGTGTCTGTACGCTTATCTTTGTAATGTCTTCCAGAACCATACATACAGTAATTGTTGTTGTGTAACTAACCTCAAGTTATAATTTCGATGTTTCCAATCCCTCTGTTAGATATTTCAGATTATCAACACCCACCAAAAACAAATACTGTGCGTTGAATTAAAGCCTTTTCTGCAATGATTTATGTTACACATAATTATAAAAAGAAAACCTTAAGGCACCCAACGCCTAACCTTGTTCCTTAATACAAATAAAACTTGGAATTATTGCGGTACCACCATTTCTAAAGATTTGTAAACCTAAAACTTCACATGATGCTTTCAATTCTTGTCATGCATAAGACAAAGTACATGATCCTAATTAACAACTGGGAAGTGTTGACGACTTAGAGACAACCAATGGATTCCCAGGATTTTTGTCAGGTATTTAGGCTGTGGTTTACGTTCCTCAATATATGTGGTTGACCTTTGATGTAACCTTTACTATGTTTTATAACTGCTGGCTTGCCTTTACATGTAATATGTTTGAATTATTTGAGGTCTTTCGCTCTCTCTTTCTCTCCGAGAAAGGACAGAACCAAGCTATACAGAACAAAAACGGAAATGATCTAATTTTTTTCCACTGGTCAGAGACCAGAAGAGCTTATGCATTAATAGTGTGTCTGTCTATAAACAATTTTTGAAAACGCTACCACTGGTCCGATTTCAATAAGACTTGGCATATGAATAGACTATACTAAGGTACATAATTCTGTAAATTGGTTTTTGAAATTCATTGTATTACTGAGAAACTACTCTAAAATACATACTTGTTTTTATTGGGTTTTGATTTAGATGGGCTCCTTTTTTGATTTTTGGTCTGACTTATAACATTTGGTACACAAGCAAACTAAACTATAAGTCGTATTTATTGTTGTTGCCATTACTACCAAGTTTAAAGTTCTTTCTTATCATAAGTACAAACCATTAGAGTTACAGTCTTGTCAGAGACTTCTGATTTTTGCTAACAGAAGGATATTTCTTTTATATAAATTAATCTATCAAGCACGTCCTTGCCTGTACGATTTGTGTCTCTACTAGTTCCATCTTCAGTTGCAGTTGACAATGACTGCGGGGGGACTGGGTTTCTATTTAATCTTCAATGTTCACACGATCAGCTGGTGAAATTTGACATCCAAATGATTAGACGAGATAAAAAGGGTTGGGATATACTGTCTTCAACCTTTAATTACCAAACAGAGGTAATTAGGGCGACAAGTAATCTACCCCTGTCCGGCTTATTTGAACACCTGTGTCTACAGAGATTTTACCAGTACAATCTCGCGGTCAATATATATCAGACGTTTGATTTTTGTCAAGTATTGCACGTCACTGAAGCATTACACTGTATATATTGTTTTTATAAGCCATAAATGACAGGACACTTATTTCGCATTAAAATCTTACTGGGGACTTTAATAATACCTGTAAATATTTTGGGAACACAGCTATATATACTGATGCGTGTACACTTACACGAGATGTTTGAGAATTTAAGTAATCTTCAAAAGAAGTGATTCTCGTTAATTCAGTGGGCTTAATTTTAGCTTAACATGATGCCGTGGTTTTTTTGAAGCCTTGTGCTATCTAGTTTTTGAGGGTTAACAGGTTTATTAATGAGAGTATACATGATGCATAAACAGCGAAACCGATTATGTATGAAATGCCATGTGCTCCAGTATAGATATAACCCAACAACCCTTGTTTCTTATATTTACTTTTTAAACGATTAGATATATTTCTCGTGTCAACATACAATTGCAACGTCACATAACGTGTATGAGTCTGAACACCAGTCCCAGGATCAGTCTTAGACTTAAAATTTCAGTACTATAAACTGAAACTTGAAACATTAAGCAATTCTGAGTAACATTTCAAATTTCAAGTGTTTTTTATAATCAAGTTTTAAGTCAGCTTGCAAATTCTGACTAAAACTCTAAAATTGCTTCATGATCCCGGGTCCAGGGCAGCAACGTTCAAGCTCGTAGCAGCTAATCAACATGTAGCTGCTAGGGTAGATATATAGGTATATTGAATTAACGCTTGCTATCCCTATGTAGCGGTTAGTCTAGCATAGCGTTCCTGGTCGTAGACCTACCGGTACGTAGCTGTTACGATCTTTAACACACCCCAGCAAATGTACAAATTTATAAAAGTAAATGTCATCCTAAATTTCATATCGTATCTAAAAAGTAACTTGAACGCCAAAAAATGCATATATTTCATACAGCATTTTACAAAGTGGATCAAATTGTTGGAAAACTGCGGGAAAATCTGTGCAACTTTTCTCCTGTCTCATTCACTTTCAAAGGATTTTATTAAAAAATGCACTGAACATAATGCAGGAATGATAAACTGTATACAGGGTTATTTTAGTCCTGTGTTAATTTTGCCCTTTAATACTTGCAAACAAATTTGCTCCATTAAATTCGTCAAAACACATTTGTGTTTAAGAGATAATGCAGTCTTGTTATTCGCCCACTTACGACGATGGTGAAAGAAGCGAAAATAAAAAGAGGGCGAAAATTCCCTGTATATAATAACATATTAAATACTAGTAATAGGCGAAAATTACAGTTTGTATTCCCATGAAAGCAAAAAATCTACACCTACGGGATATTTTAAGATGGATAAGATATTCATTCAGGA